TTTTCAGAAGGAAAAATGGTGAAAAACACCAAAGTTTTAATCTATATTTGAGGAATGAAGTGCCTTATAACAAAAGTTGATTTTGTTCAATAAATTGAACCTTGTAATCTATAGCATGGGTATGTGTCTTACCCATGCTCAACCTGCAAACACACACACACACACACACACACACACACACACACACACACACACAAATCTTTATCAGCAGCTTCATTTCCCTACAGACACCTAAAGCGTAACACAGTCAATCTTAGACTAGAATGGTCCATTTCCAACATTCACAGGTTTTCTTCTTACTTTATGTTTTCTCTTTAGATGGCAATATCCTTTCTTCTTATGATTTACCTCCTTTCATTAGAACAAGAAAAGATTTGGTGCCAATTACTTAAACCTGTCATTATATAAGTCTGAAATATGGTTTTTCTGTCTAGATGGAGTCCTACTCCAGAGGGATGATCATGTTGTCAAGTTGTAGTCCCTGGAAGTCTGGAAGTTTCTCCAAATCTGGTGAAGGAAAGGGATTTGGGTCCCATCAGTATTGGATTCTTTCAGGACCTAAAGTAAAATTGCTGGATCACATGGCAATTCTATTTTTAATCTTCGATGAATTGCCATACTGTTTTCCGCAGCAGCCATAACATTTTATATTCCCATCAACAGTGTACAAGGTTTTGATTTCTCCACATTCTCACCAACACCTGTTATTTTCTGTTGTTGTTTCTAATAGTAGCGATCCTAATAGGTGTGAGGTGGGAAAATAAAGTTTCAACCATTAAATTTATTTATTTCCTGATGCCATCCATAGGAAAGCTATTATGGAAGTATCTAAGGGGTCCTTGGATAGTTTCAAGGGAGGGGCTGGCCACACCGGAAACACCAAGTATGTGGTTAGAGTTTAGAACTTTCAGCCCCACCCTCCAACCTTCTGGGAGAGAAGAACTGTAGACTGAGTTCAATCACATGGTCGATGATATAATCAACCATCCTTATATAAAGAAACCCTACATAAAAACTCTAGATACTGTGCTCATTGGAGCTTCCTGGCTGGTGAATGTATCAGTGTACTAGGAGGGTGGTACACGCTGGCTCCATGAAAGCAGGAACTCTCATGCTCATGACCTCATAGACTTTGTTCCACATATCTCTTCATCTTGCCATTCACTTAAATCCTTTATAATAAAGGGATAATTGTGAGTATGGAGCTTTCCTGAATTCTATGAGTCCTTCTAATGAATTATCAAATCTCAGATGTCATGGGAAGCCTTGAATGTGTAATTGGTCTGGCAGAAATGCCTACTGCCTGAGGACTCCTGAAATTTGTGGCTGGTATCTAAAATGGGGCAGTCTGGTAGGACTGAGTTCTTAACTTGTGAGGCCTTCACTAACTCTGGGTAGTGTCAAAATTAAATTGAATTATAGAACTCTCAGAATTGGTGTCAGAACACACAAAGAAAACTGGAAGGAGTTCCAACGCATCTTGGATATCTGTGGAGAAGTTTCTCTAATATGAATCAACCAAAAAAATTAAACATGGTAATACTAGGAATCATAGTATTTCACATGTTATATGTCGTATTCTTACAATAAAGTAATCTACAGAAAATAAAATGTTATTGAGAAAATCATAAAAGAAAATATAATTACTATTTATAAATGGCAGTTCATCATCATAAAGGTCATCATCGTCATCTTCACATTGAGTAGGCCGAGGAGGAGGAAAAGGAAGAGTTGGTCTTGCTGTCTCAGGAATGGGAGAGGTGGAAGAAAAGTGACATGTAAACAGACCTGTGCAGTTCAAACCCATGTTTTTTGAGGGTCAACTGTACACACACACACATACACACACACACACACACACACACACACACACACACACACACACACACGCACACACTCTATATTTGTTCTCTTTCTCTTAATAATTCTGACTAATGCTCTATTTCACCTGGTTGTTGTGAAAATGAGTGAAATAATGTATATAAGACTATTTGTAAATGTTAAAGCACCATAAATAAAACACAAGGATACATGTATGTGATGTGTATGTGATGTGTAAAGCTAATACATGTATGTGATGTGTAAAGCTTTGTTGAGACTTTATAAACATGTAAATTAATTGTTACAAACGTGGTCATAGAACCAATACTACAGATCAATGGATTCAAGATATCACAGAAGAAGCTACAGAACAGTAACCAGTAGGGAGAGGAGCTCCTGGGTTTGTGCTCTGGATTGATGGAACATCTGTTGCTATGGAGTGTAAACTCCATGTGGGCAGAAAACCATGGCTTACTTGGCTTAGTTCAATTTCCATACCTAGCAGCTGGCACAATGCTTTGCACATAGTTGTTGCCCAGATAACTGCTGAAGAATAAATGACTTTTATCTATGTGATCTCCCCAAAACTACATTTTTGTGAGTGACTAGGTGAACAGCATTAAATACCTGAGAATTACCATAGAGCACATTAGCATGTAGCATGGAGGATTAGAAAATATGTATGTGTTGAAACTGGTCAAGCCTTCAGAAGGGTCAAATGTCAGTTAAGCATAGTCCGTATGCCCTGTAAAAGAGCTAGAACCTTAGTGTGGCTGAGGAAAGGCCAAAGCTATGAACCCAGAATGCCCCCATGAATAAATACACAGCCAGACCTCACTCCCTAAAACTAATGATTTTTCTTCCTTGAACCTTTGCTGAACTTTGTATAATAGCAAGGTGCAAATATAGCTTGGGGGAGAAAATCTGGGCCACTGTACTGAATGAATACTTTAAAACTCCAGGACAGTAACTGGAATGCTATTTAGCAGCATAGCAAACACTACCCAGTGTCACTTGTCAGCTCAGATCTCTAGATGACATTTCTTGTAGCAGTCAATGGCCAGTCTGGACTGTATTAACATGCTTCACAACTTTATAGATTGTGGTTTAGATATTTTGAGATTGGGTGTGGAAGAATATGGTTGCTTTCAAAACATTCTAGGCAAGAAGCTTCAGTCTAAGAAAGACCAGACTTCTAGTCTTGTGGGTATTTTGGGAAGTATGTCATCATAATGATATTTCCAAACTTCTCTGGATATAGTCAGTGAGGGAGAGATCATCAAGACAGCCTGCTTTCAGTTAAAACAACAGTGGGATATGATTTGCCACTTATAAAACTGGAAAAGAATTTTTTTTAATGTCCAGTATTACTGAAAACATATCCTGACACTTTGTTGATTAGAGGACTATTTGGCCAAAAAAAACCCCAAAAAACAAAAAAAAAAACCTTTAAAAATGCATAATCTTTTGACTCCACAGTTATTGCCAAGGAAATAATCCTGTATCTGTGCAAAGATCTATCCATTAGTATAGTTTCAACACACTGTTAGTTATGATAGTTAAAAAATAGAAATAAATAAAATGTCTAACAGTAGGGAATTGCCTAAAGAAATTTTGCTACATCCATATGAAGGAGCAATAAGTAACCATTAAAAATAAGATATAGAAGAATATATAGTGACATAAAAATTTGCTCATCTTCTGTTGTTAAATTAAAAAGCAGATTACAAAACACTATGTACAGAATAAGTCTATTTTTGTTTTAAAATAAAGCAAAAGAAGAATTCACGCATGTGCATAAAAGACTAGAAAACTACACATTAAAATGTTTATAGCGACTATCTTTTGAGTGGTGGAGTTACAGGTGGTTTCTGCCATCTCCTTTATGCTCTCCCCCAAACTTTCTATAAAACATATTCTGTCAGCAATTGTAGTAGGGGAAAGCAGCTTTAAACATTTCAAACAAAGTAAGCAGCAAACAAAAAAACCTCCCATGAACTACCACTGTCTACTCATCAAGAAGCAAGAGCATCTGCAGTGTTATGCATTAGCCCTGGCATGTTCCAGAACTTTACATTCTAAGGCAGTTGCTTTGAAAGAATTTGTTTAAGCCCTGATAGAACAGCAGGATCTAAAAAGTTTTCATTGATCTCATTTAATAAGAAACATTTTCTCCCCACACTATGCTAAGCCTTGTACAGCATGAAGTCACTTCATAACAGCTCCTGGAACTGATGCAGAGGGATGGCCTGACACATTCACACAAATGTTAGCATTCAGATGCCACCTTGGAAACAGGAGTTTCCTGCCCTTTAGCCAACACCCTTCATGCTGCTGAAGTCTAAAACTGTGCCTATAGAAAAATAGGTAAAGGGCTTCTAGCCTAGATGCATATGTAAAACGAATCCATCATAGGTTATTGCGAAGTTAGAAGTGTCTGGTAAATCCTGGGGTTGGTGATGATGTCAACCATGAAAGTACCCAGCCTTTCCCACACACGTGTCCTTTGCTGTCCCTGACCGAGCAGATTGGAGGGATCATCTTGTCTATTCATGCCAACCATCTGCCACTAACAAATGCAGCTGGCTGGGTAGTGAATTTGAAATTTTACAAAGACTGATGGTGAAAATGGCCATAAGGTATAGTTTAGTCTAAACGAGTGCCCATCAAGTGCAGTGTGACATTTTCCCTGTCTGTCTCCAGCTGTTTCTGGACCATAAAAGGGAAAGAGTCAAGAATACATTCATTCTTTCCACACTAAAAGAGCCAGAGATCCAGACAAATTAGGTTTGCAGTCTAAAAGTGCACCACTCGTGGCAGAACAGTGGAGACAACTCCAGGCCAACTTAAAGCTACTCTCAGCTGAATTTCCCCTGGAGCTGACTCAGCCTTGCCCAGATAGGGGTTTTGAATTAGACAAAATCTAGAGTATTCTAAAAAACTGACAGTGGCTAGATGTTTAGACACATACGTTTCAGGATGATGGCACCAAGGAATGTGCATTCTTGATAGCCTTCCACAGTGCTTTAAAAATCAACAGTGAATCCAAGTTAACCCACCCCTATGCATCACTATTATGCCAGAGCTTCCCCAGGAACTTCACTGAACTACCATGCATCTGGGAATGCAACTGGTCAGAAGGTCATAGAAGATACAGCTCAGAAGCCCCACCGACTCACCTTGCTGTTGCCGGTCCTCCTGCAGCTTCTGTTTACACGTACGCCAACTGCTGAACAGGTGGTTGCTGCCTTTTCTCGGTATGGCAGTCATGGTACTGGTGGCAGGGATGTGGCTCAAGAATTGCGCTAGGGCACTTCCTTCCCTTGACCAGTCACCTAGAATGCTCTTCACGAGACACCCAGAACCACACAGGCACATGCAGATCCTGTCCTTGTGTGTAAAACATTTACTCCTCTAAAAGGTTTCCAAGTTTTTCCTACTTATGATTCTTGAAATAATTATCAATGTTACTCCTCCTAAATATAAAGGTGCCAACACATTTGGCTAAAAGCACGACTTAATTCTTCTTTCATTTCAAAGCAAATTGGAATTTTTACCCCTTAAAGTGTAAAATTCTACAAATTAACTGTTGCTAACAGATTACAGTTTTGGCAGTTTTTGATTCCTCCTGCTGACATGAAATCCAATGCTTCCAGTAGTCCGAGAAGACTGCTAGAGTAACACACACACAAAGGGAAAAAAAAGTGCTGCTGAGTTAAATCAAGTGATTTCTAAGCCTCATCTGAGTTACCCTCGGTGACAGCTGAAAGTGTACAGTTCTTAAGAGAGGTTGGAAGGAGGAGGAGCCAAGTGGGCTAGGATGATTAGCATAAAGAGGCAGGCAAGAAATGGCACTGGAGTTGCTTTGAATAATAGTTACCAAAGCAGGGAGTCTAAAGATGTCCTGCTGTGGTGGTACAGTAATTAAAAATCTGGCTTCTACTTTGTTTGTAATTAAAATACAAGCTGAAAGCAGAGGCTTATACAGCATGGACGTTCATTTGTACGTGTGAAATCTGAAAGGTATAACTGGAACTGGTAATGAGCTCATGGAAATGTACTGCTGGAACTTTCGATTTCTGTAAACACCTCCGAGTCTTCAGAAGGGAGCAGTTACAGGACAGCCTGTCTGCCAAGGCAACTATTTTGGAATTCGGGAAGAAAAATAAACACACAAAACATTACCTTTCCAGAGTCCTATCTCTGTTTCCCACTTAGATTCTTTATTGCTACTTGTAGCTCATAGGACAGGGCTATTTTCAGTTTTTCTTGTGCTTGCTGTTTTATTACTGCTTAAACATGTAAACTCCAAACACCTTTAATTTATTAATAACTTAGGGGTCTGCTACGACTGAAACCGTAATGAACGTTAGTAGATCCTGCCCTTCAAGTCAAGGCTCTTTGCAAATCCAGAAGGGAGGTAGAGTACAGGGCTAAGGAGAAAGGCAGAGCTGTTTAGCCTCAAAGCCTGGACCCTGCAGCTTCTATGAAAATGGGTGTTAAACCTGACACTCTCATGAGACGTTTACCTCCTAGCCAGATCTGGGTAGGTGCCCTCTTTTTACTTTGAGACAGTTAACAATTCCCCAAGCATAGTCTGATTTATGAAAATGCCTATGAAATGTGCAATTGCTCTTTTGTAATTCTTATGATTTATTAAAATGCTTTTTTTGTTTTAATAGTCTATCTACTGCAGTTTTAGGTCTATCACAGTGTAACAGGTGATGGAAATGTTTTGCTACTTTGAAAGAGAGTCTTACTGCTAAAGAAGCATAGTTCCAGCTTTAATGGACTACTATTCATCTCATCCTCCACAAGGGCCATGGTGGGAGGTTGAGGTTTCTGTTCCTGAATAACATAAAATTATAGATATTTTATTAAGTTGTCGGCCTCACTAATAAGCATGTTATTATGTAAGTAAATTAAATAATCCACAAAACTACAAGCTAGCCCTTGAGACGTTTATTTTTTTAAAAATTTATAATGAAAAATTCTAAAAATATAGTAATAAGTAGAGAGACTAGCATAATAAGCCTTGTGTGCCCATCGCTTGGATTCAATAACCATCAACTCATGGACAATCTTGTCTCAGATCTCTGTGTTTCATCACAGCCACTCTCCCCAACTGCACCACTGGATTTGAAGCATTCCAGACATCATGGCATTCATATGTGTTTCAGTATGTATTTCTAAAATGTAAGGATTTAAAACTATATAGCCATAATAAGATTGTCACACTTGTAACAATTAGACATGGTTCCTTAATGTAATTAATTATCTAGGTAGTGTTATTTTCCTGATTGTCTCATAGATTTTTTTAATTTTTACTTTTTTTTCCCTTAAATTGGTACCCAAAGGTACCAATATAATATGTTTTTTAAGTCTTGTTTAACCTATAGTTTCTACTCAGAAAGAATATATTGCTTGGGGGTTAATATCTACAGTTACCCTAATTTGTGTTTAACTTCAAGAAAGCCCCCCTAGATGTCCCCCTAGATGTTTCCACTCAGAAAGAATATATTGCTTTGGGATTAATATCTACAGTTACCCTAATTTGTGCTTAACTTCAAGAAAGCCCTCCTAGATGTCTTAACTTCAAGAAAGCCCCCCTAGATGTCTTAACTTCAAGAAAACCCCCTAGATGTCCCAACTTCAAGAAAGCCCCCCTAGATGTCCCCCTAGATGTTTCCACTCAGAAAGAATATATTGCTTGGGGATTAATATCTACAGTTACCCTAATTTGTGTTTAACTTCAAGAAAGCCCTCCTAGATGTCTTAACTTCAAGAAAGCCCCCCTAGATGTCCCCTTAGATGTTTCCACTCAGAAAGAATATATTGCTTGGGGGTTAATATCTACAGTCACCCTAATTTGTGTTTAACTTCAAGAAAGCCCTCCTAGATGTCTCCCCCCTAGATGTCTCTTATTTGCATGCATTGAAAGCTGAAGGGGAAAAAAAGAGAGAGAGAGAGAGAGAGAGAGAGAGGAAAAGGAATGGTCAGCTGGTGAGAGGTTAAAATACCAGCTTTCCTGCCATGGTGCTCCCACTCGTGTGCTTGAGCCAGGCATTTAACATCTCTGGGTCTGGGTCTTTATTTATCAAATGAAACAAATGTTTGGCAATCAATGTGATAAATTATTCAACACTCATTCTGTGAACATAAAGACCTGAGAGAAGAAGTATCCTGTTCTGTCTTTGGCTAGAGACTGAGGAAAAAGAAGTAGACTTAAAACTAAAAATCTGAGTAGGATTTTGGGACATATTTGAAAATCTAGGCCTTCAACTGTCAAACTAAGCTAAGTACCATAATTACCTCGACAAAATGTTGTAAAGATATAGATTCTCGAACCTCAACTGCACAGCCTGAGGTCTGGGGTAGGGTCTGGAATCTATATTTTTTTAAAGTTCTCTGGTTCAAATAAACAAGTATAACCAGCTTAGGCAAAGCTGGTGTGTGCTGCTATTTCATTCATCATATCTTTCCTGAAGACTGATGAAACCAAACAAGCACTCATTAAACACAGTGATTTTGAACACCACAGCATAAGTGGATAGGGAAGATATTGAGGAGTCTGACAGTTTCTTCCTTTGTGCATCCTTGAGGCAGTCCTGGGAAGTAAGGATGGATTATTACCTGAGTAATGGCACTCCTAGGTTCTTACACTCCCTGTTGGGTTCCAGTTCTGTTCTTGGAGGGATCTCAGGTTTGATGTACCAGTTTCCACTGGAAATATCTCAGTGTGGCTGAAAGCAGCATGTCAAAAGAGTATGTACAATAACCTCTGATGTGTCAGCTGTAGGAGGAGGAGTGTCTGCTTTGCTCTCCTCCTCCTCCAACTTACTTTTCAGAAACACCACCAAGTTAGTTCATAGTGGGCACGTTGTACTTTATTTTTGGCCTGTGAAGTAAAAGCAAGAAGTCAGAGAGCAGAAGTCTCACTGGATCAAGAAACAGGTGAATAATCTTTGTTATGCTTACTTCCAACTGATTAAAAAGGAATTAGAATACGATATAAGTCAAGCTTCTTCCCTGAATGACTCTCCCAAAAGAACACCACTTATTTCCTTAGTTTGGTTTCTTCCTTTTCTGCCATACCTTCTCTGCGTAATCTATGTCTTTGAACTCCCAGAAGAGTAAACTGGCACGTCACAGATAAACCATCAGTCATATCAGCTGGCACTTGTGGGGTGGATATTGAAAAACTGATATTTTATTATTAGAATTCATTCATAGGTCAGAAAGATTGCATTTGATTGAATAATTTAAATGGTATTGTTTATACAAGGGTTTTCTTTTTTCAGTTGGATCATATTTTTAAAAGCAGGGACATGTACATTTTAAATTAGTACATATGTGAGTTACTTGTTTAATTAATAACCTGCCTTGTTTCAAAAGCATTTATGATATCTAGTCTGCAAGCATATCTAGTCTTTGAAGGTCTTTGGAAGGATAGGTAATATATAAATAAAAGCAGTAGTATTGCATTTATCAATTTCATCCTCAAGGAATAGACAAAAGACCCCTAACAGAACACAATCAGAAAAACTGTGAGTCCCTGGGTGGAGCCTCACTAGGATACCAAAACCATGGCAGAAATTGTTAAATGATCTTTGTAGTTGAAACCTGGTGAACTAGTGTTAAGACTTTTGATTTTTCATTGATTTTAAATAACAGATCCCTTACTTCTTTATATCAAGAGTGGTACTTTTTGGTTTTTTCCCAGATCACTCTTCCTTCTTACATTAACCAAAGACATTGGGGGTAAGAATGGTGAGGATCTCACAATGGCTTATGTTTTTTATATGTATCATAAAGCCCCAGTAAAGGCAGGTCTTTGTGGTGGTCCAGTCATGTTATTACTTTAATTTACTGTAGGTTTTCAGCTCCTAAAGTTTCCCAGGTGGCACAGTATACATAATTGCTGTCTGTAAAAAACATAGAAGAAACAAATGGTTGCAGTAGAGACAGTTTGGCTTGAATACTTTGCTCCCATCTATGGATTCAGGTAGCTAACTGGCTTAGCACCAAATTGCTTACTTATCAAAGGAGCTCACTATTTTGAAATTGCTACCATTGATCTTTCATCCATTGAATGCCAATATTTGGGTCTTGGTTATCAGAAATATTGCCTCACTACAAAAACATTGCATTGGCAGTTCAAACTAATTTTGGCCCTTTCTCTCATGAGCCTTATATTTGGCTGTTGCAGGGCTCCCTCTGGAGGTCAGCAGAGTCCAAGGTCTGTGAGTAAAATTGCCTTGGCCTCAGCACAAGATAAATCTATGTCTTCACCCAGCGCCCACAAGAATGGGGTCCTACCTTTGTGAGTTTAGGAGATTATTACTTGTACCTGACATTGTAGGAAAGTTGTCTGATAATCATCCTGTGGGTAAAATTTGATCATTGCTTAGTGCTGGTATTTAATCTTCTGTAGTTTTACATTTTTCTATCTTTAGTGAGGTCTTTTTGCCAAAGTTGAAACAAAACAAAATAAAACCAAAGGTCAGAAAAATTCTGTTACATTTTATTTGCTTGTTTTAGTGGCAAGAAAACCCAGAATAAGATGGTTCTGGCTCAATAATGTCTACCACGTGAGTTGGATCAAATGATTCCACAGAATCTGAATTCCATCTAGCATTGTTTGAAAGTACAGGCATCCGGAGTAATGGGTTTGCAGCAGAACTTAACTCTCTGAAGGTAAATATGCACTAACTGGGTCAGTTTCAAAATACCTTAAGCAAATTAACTTGTACTGAATCAAATTTTTATTACTTCATTTGAATTTTCACGTATAGAAAGTAAGTAGTCATGAATTGTTTCTC